ACACCAAATGTATGAGCCACTAAAATGAAAGGCAACAGTCTGAACAAGATAACTGCATTGGGATCTTGTCCTACACGGGATTTTTTTTAATGTGTATGAGGTGTGCCTCAGGCAGAGCTGCCATGCATCTGTGAGACAGGAAGAAAGAGACAGGGAATTGAGTACCAAGCAATGAAAACAGCATTTTTAACTGGTTTTCCCCCTGCCTCCTCAAAGCTGCAGAGCGACAGAGGAATTATGGGAAGTATGGAGCAGGTTACAAAAGAGCATTTTAAGCACTTTCCACCTTAACTCGCTTTATACACATCAAAGAAGAAGAAGAAGAAGAAGAAGAAGAAGAAGAAGAAGAAGAAGAAGAAGAAGAAGAAGAAGAAGAAGAAGAAGAAGAAGAAGCAGCAGCAGCAGCATGGGATGATCAATAAAATGTTCACAACAGTTTCCTCATAACCGACTTTAGCTGAATATTTCATGGTATATTCTTTTTCCTGTATGTAGAAGAAAATGCAAAAATCAGATTACAGCTGTAACCCCTCTCCATGATTCCCTAGGACTAAACAACAGCGAAAATATTAGGAATCACTTCTGACTTGGGAGGAAAAGGGTCTAGAAGGCTTCAGACTTTTACCACACACACCTCAAATTGCCTAAAACTAGCATGTATGGGCACTGCTTCTGACAGTAAATTTGTACCTAAATTTGAAATAAGGAGTGGGCATTTGTGGAAAGTGTAGGAAATCACATTAATGCTGCCATGACTCCTTGGATGGTCACCTGCTGCTGAAAACAAAAAAAACACCCCATGCCCTCTGGTAATATAGGGACATTCTCCCCATGTTTTGGATGGGCTACCCCCAGAAGGCTTTTTAGGTCCATTTTTGCAATAATTTGTTTTATTTTGGAAGTCTGTGGGGCCTCCATACGTAGTGGAAATGCATTCCATAGAAGTTGTTTTTGAAGAAAATAGTGATTCCTGGGTTTGTGATCCATAAAGCACACTTTGCCCATCCCTATTCTAAGGAAATCTGAGTCAAAATGAATCCCACGGACCCAGGGAAGTACTTACTTGCTTTGCTACTCATTTACTTATAGGTCTCACTATGTTCAATGAAACAGAGGTACCCTTGCTCACCGCATTTATTTTATTCTGGCTTATACTAACCCATGTGTTGCACATTGTCATGGATCATCACAACCTAGCATTTATGTATTTATGTAAGTGCGTATGTATGTATTTATTAGCAGATTTCTGTCCCATCTTCTATTCAATGATATCAGGGCTCACTGTAGTGTTCAAAGCATTTCCTACTCATGGTGAGTGACTTTATGGTGAAGCTATCATGTGGTTTTCTTGGAGTTTACTGTTGCCATCTTCTGAAGGTGAGAAAACAATCCATGGGTTTCCATCACCAAGCAGATATATCAATTCTGGTCTTCTGGACTCTTAGTCAAACACTCAAACTACTAGATCTTGGGGTAGCCCACAATAAAAGACATCATCGCATGCTGTTTTCATTGTGCTTCTGAGTGCTTAAGAAACAACCACCCACGGAGACTATCGGATGATGCATGGTCGTTTTGTGGCTTCCTATTCAGTCCCCATTTTTAAACTGTATGGAAACTTGTTTTTGAGTTCAGTATTTCTGAACTCAAAAACAAGCAACTTTATGTTTGGGTTGCTGTGAGTTTTCTGGGCTGTATGGCCATGTTACAGAAGCATTCTCTCCTGACGTTTTGCCCACATCTATGCCAGGCATCCTCAGAGGTTGTGGGGTCTGCTAGAAACGAGGCAAGTGGGGTGGATATATATCTGTGGAATGTCCAGGGTGGAAGAAAGAACTCTTGCCTGTTTGAGGTAAGTGTGAATGTTGCCATTGGCCACCTTGATTAGTACTGAATGACGTTACAGCTTCAAAGTTTGGTTGCTTCCTGGCTGGGGGAATCTTTTGTTGGGAGGTATCAACTAGCCCTGATTATTTCCTGTTTGGAATTTCCCTGTTTTTTTAGTGTTGCTCTTTTTAGTGTTACTGTCCTGATTTTAGAGTTTTTACATATTGGTGCCTTCCACAGATATATAAACCTCACTTGCCTAGTTTCCAACAGACCTCACAACCTCTGAGGATGCCTGCCACAGATGTGGGTGAAACTTCAGGAGACAATGCTTCTAGAACATGGCCATGCAGTCTAGAAAACTCACAGCAACCCAGTGATTCCAGCCATGAAAGCCTTCAACAACTTTATGTTTGTTTGTCAGCTTAAATCAGGCATCCTCAAACTGCAGCCCCCCAGTTGTTTGGGCCTCCAACTCCCAGAAGCCCTAATGAACTTGTTCAATTGTCAGGAATTCTGGGAGTTGAAGTCCAAACAGCTGGAGGGCCACAGTTTGAGGATGCCTGACTTAAATGATTGAAAATAATTCAAGATACCAAGCAGTGAAAATAATGTATAGCCTGGTAACATATCCAATTTTCCCATAAATTAAAAATGTTTAAACCCAAACTAGATAAAATCATTTTGATCCAAACATTTCAAATAAAGGAAAGCCCATATCTCCCTATGTGAATGTGGACATGTCTTTAGATTTTCTGTGAAGGCCTTTCTCTGTCCCACTGCCCTAGGGATGGCCAGGTTTTTCACATCCTGATTTTTTTCTCCTGATATGAGAAAGGGAATCCTTTGGCCTCACATTTCTATCTGTAACCACGTGTGGCAGTACAGAGCTTTCTAAAATGGTACATGGAGGTACATTCATTTTCACTATCATATGTGTGTGTACTTCATTATCATATACGTCTGTACTTGCCACTTGTCTCAGATGTGGTGGAAGGTGGAGCTTATGAGAGTCATGTTCACAAATTCAGGTGCTAAGTATAGACCCCAAATGTGTTGTTATGCACCATCAAGTGGGCTTCAACTTGTGGCAACTTTGTGAAGGACAGACCTCCAACAGAGCCTGATATCATGAGACTGCTAAAAAAGAAGACAGTGTATCAAACTGCATTAATTTTACAGTGTAGATGCCCCCTATATAATATCATGAACTCTCAGAAGTAGGAAACAAACCAAGAGTCTTTCTTCCAGAGTGATTTTCCCTCTTTTTTATCTTGAGATAAACAAGGAAGGCATCTCAAGCCACACCTCCTTTTTAGTTATATGTGGCTTGAAACTAATATGAGTCCTCTGAGTGTTTCTGGACAAAATTGGGAAACTATTCATGCCGTCTTTCCTTGAGAGAGGGACCAAAGAGCTTCCAAATCTTAAGGGGAAGTGTCAGCATGGGGGTTTCTGTATTTCACACTTTGGCTGCGACTTGAGTGGAGAACAGCTTCAAAAAATGTGTGTGTGTGGGGGGGGGGGGACAGGGAGAGAAAAATGTATTGTCAAAGGCTTTCATGGCGAATCACTGGGTTGTTGATGGTTTTCCAGGCAGTATGGCCATGTTCTAGAACATTCTCTCCTGACGTTTCACCTGCATCTGTGGCAGGCATCCTCAGAGGTTTTGAGGTCTATTGGAAACAAGGAAAATGAGGTTTATATATCTGTGGAATGTCCAGGGTGGGAGAAAGAACTTTTGTCTGTTTGAGGTAGGTGTGAATGTTGCAACTGGCCAACAACAAGAGTTGTCAAACAGACAAAAAAATTTTCTCCCACCCTGGACATTCCATAGATATATAAACCTCACTTGCCTCATTTCCAACAGACCTCACAACCTCTGAGGATGCCTGCCATAGATGTGGGTGAAACATCAGGAGAGAATGCTTCTGGAGCATGGCCATACAGCTTGGAAAACTCACAACTCAGAGATAGAACAGGTTGGAGGGGTAAAYGCCAGTTATTGCAGGGGTCCTCAAACTTTTTAAACAGTTGGCCAGGTCATAGCCCCTCAAGCTGTTGGAGGGCCAAATTATAATTTGAAAAAAATGAATGAATTCCTTTGCACACTGCACATATCTTATTTGTAGTACAAATAACCCTTACAAGCAATACAATAATTATAATGAAGAACAATTTTAACAAATATAAACTTATTAGTATTTCAGTGGAAAGTGTGGGCCTACTTTTGGCTGATGAGATAGGATTGTTGTTGGGTTGTTGTAGGTTTTTTCGGGCTGTATGGCCATGTTCTAGAGGCATTCTCTCATGAGGTCGGAGACAGATGTCAGGAAAGAATGCCTCTAGAACATGGCCATATAGCCCGAAAAAACCTACAACAACCTAGGATTGTTGTTGTTGTTGTTGTTGTTGTTGTTGTTGTGTGCTTTCAAGTAGTTTCAGACATAGATTGCCCCTGAGTGAGGGCCTGGTAAATGACCTTGGAGGGACCTATCCGGCTCTCAGGCCTTAGTTTGAGGACCCCTGAGTTATCGTATGCCTGCTCTTCTCCCAGGGAGAAAACACACACAAAGAGAAGAAAAGAAAGTCTGAGGGCCCTTCCACACAGCGCTATATCCCAGAATATAAGGTCAGAAAATCCCACATTATCTAAGTGTGGACTCAGATAACCCAGTTCAAAGCAGACATTCTGGTATATAGGGCTGTGTGGAAGGGCCCTCAAGTTCCTCCTAACAGGAGTGGAGAGAATGGACAGCGCCTTGAAGGCGGGCTTTGGAAAGGTGGCATTTGGGGGAACTACAGCTTGCCAAGCCCGCCAGTAACAAGGCTGGGAAATAGGTCCGAAACAAGAGGCAACTTCCTCCAACTTTGGACTTAAGTCGAGGGAGGACCTGGAGCTGGGCGACCACGTGACTCCCATCCAGGAGCCATTGCTCGCGTTGTTTTCCTTCCTCCTTGCAAGCAACTGCAAAGGAGGCAGATTCAAAGGGTGCGCCTACGCTGTAGAACGACTGCAGTTCGACAGAGCTCAATGCTACGGGATCTTATGGGAGTTGTAGTGTCACAAGGGCGCTGGCCTTCTCCCCGTAAGAGTATTGGCGCCCCGGCAAACTCCAGCTCCCAGGATCCCGTCGCATGGAGCCAGGGCGCAGAAGGGAAACTTAACTTACCTGCCGCCGGGGTGCCAGCCGCCGCTCTTGGGCCGGCTCCCTTCCTTCCCTCCTTCCTTCCTTCCCTCCCTTCTCCGTCCCGGGCCACAGCCCTTTCCCCTCTCTTTCTGCCCCGAGGAAGGCGGCCCCAGGGCTCAATGGCGGCCGGGCCGAGAGAGCCGGGGCCCCGGAGGCATCGGATCGATTTACTAAACAAACTGAAACGTGGGTGGGGAGGTTAAACAGTAACCAAGAGCCTCCAGGAACACGGAAAGCGTCAGGAGAAGGCGACGCCTCGGGCTCCCGCGCTGCTTCTGCCTCGCCCCGCCGTCCAGGCCCCCTCCCACGGCCCGGGGGGATCCACACGGGGGATCAGGCGCAGTTTGGCACCACTTTCCCTGCAGTGGGATCCTGGGAGCTGGAGCTTGGCGAGGCGCCAGCACCCGCGGGCAGAGAAGGCTCACGACCTGGGAAACTCAGGAGCAGAGCCCAGGATTCCTCAGCATTGAGCCGCGGCAATTCAAGGGGTGCCAAGAGGCATGTGCACTGCAGATCAAGCATGGGCAAACTTGGGCCCTCCAGGTGTTTTGGACTCCAACTCCCATCATTCCTAACAGCCTCAGGCCCCTTCCTTTGAAAAGTGAGGCTCCTCCCTAAAAGGAGGCAGCAGCCGGATTTAAAGTGGATTCATTCTCTAGTGTGATGAGGCTGGACCCTCCAAATGTTTTGGACTCCAACTCCCACCATTCCTAACAGCCTCAGGCTTAAGCGACTGAGGGGGAAAAGGAAAGGGCTTGAGGCTGTCAAGAATGGTGGGCATTGAAGTCCAAAACACCTGGAGGGCCCATGTTTGCCCAGGCCTGGTGTAGATGCACCTTTTGCTCCTTGCTTTATTATATCTCTGCCAAGCTTGGGCATCTTTGCCCGCCAATCCCATGCTCAGACCCATTCAGAATCCCTGATGAGTTCGGGAATGGTCACCTCGTGGTTCTGAGCAAAAGGCAAGCAGTTCACTTCGCAATAGTCGCAAATCCGAGTGAGTTCACATAAAAGCGAATCCCATGCAAACATTAGGCTCAAGGCAGCTGGAGATGGGAATGACAGTCCTTTCTGACCCGGTTTAAAATGGCTTCAAATCGTGTTCGGTTTTTGCTGGCCTCTCCAGCTTCCCACCCCCCAGCAAGTCCTTTGGATGAGCAAAGCGGGACCCAACTTTGGAACCTGTAGAGCCCAGAGGTTCGTCTTCTTTAGAGAAGGAATGAAGTTTGACACCACTTTAATTACTCTAGCTCAGTGCAATGGAACGATCCGAGTTTGGTGAGGCGAAAGATCTTTGTCAAACTGCAACTCCCACGATTCCATGGCATTAGGCCGTGGCAGCGTAAGTCATGCCAAATTGCATTCATTCTACAGCAGTGGCTCTCAGCCTGTGGGTCCCCAGGTGTTTTGGCCCACAACTCCCAGAAATCCCAGCCAGTTTAGGATTTCTGGGAGTGGAAGGCCAAAACATCTGGGGGGCCCACAGGTTGAGATCCCCCACCCTCCAGACCTAGTTTTGGATTCAGTGTCTTTAGAGTCCGGGCTGAGAAATATTGACGCGTCTGTCCGGAACTTTCAAAACGTTTATCCTTCCTTCCTTGGCTTGGAGGGAAGTGTACTCTGCACACGCTCAGGGGCGCCCTCTTTTCGATTCTGTGCGCTTCTTCTCAGTGCTATGGAAGCCCCTAAATTAGCCATACGGGTGCATCTACATCAGGTATGGGCAAACTTGGGCCCTGCAGGTGTTTTGGACTTCAACTCCCACAATTCCTAACAGCCCCTTTTGTTTTGGACTCCAACTCCCACCATTCCTAAAGGAAGGGGCCTGAGCCTGTTAGGAATGGTGGGAGTTGGAGTCCAAAACACTTGCAGGGCCCAAGTTTGCCCATGCTTGACTTACACTATAGAATGGATGCAGTTTGACACCACTTTCAAAGCCCTGGCTAACTTGGGCCCTGCAGGTGTTTTGAACTCCAACTCCCACAATTCCCAACAGCCTATTTTGTTTTGGACTCCAACTCCCACCATTCCTAACAGCCTCAGGCCCTTTTCTTTCCCCCCTCAGCCGCTTAAGGGGGCTGAGACTGTTAGGAATGGTGGGAGTCGAAGTCCAAAGCACCTGGAGGACCAAAGTTTGCCCAGGCCTGGTCTACACTATAGAATTAATGCAGTTTGGCTCCCCTTTAACTGCATGGCTCAGTGCTATAGAATCCTGGGCACTGCCTTCTTTGCCAAAGCGTGATCATTTCTCAGTAATTCTACAGTGTAGATGCAGCTTAGGCCTTCCGTGGGAGAAAACTTCGTGGGAAATGCCCTCTACGGGGTTTATTTCCCAAGAAACAACAAGAAAGGAAAGTTTGCCACCGCCATTGGCTCCAAATACAAACCTTGTTGGATTGTATTACTTTTTGGGCACCTCTGCCAAAAACACAGCTGCCGGGATAGTAACTCAATCTTGCGAGAATGTTTTAATCCTTCTATGGAATGCCTGGGTTTCGATCAGACTTTGGCAGTCCAACCGTGTTTCACCTGCCATATTTACCGTGTGATTTTAATAATCCAAGCTGCTGCTCCTTTTTGTCTTTCCTCCCTTCTGTCTTTCCTCCCTGAGACCAAAACGAGACCCTCCCAAGACCCGCGGTGTCGTGACTCCCTGGAAAGAGAATAGCACTCTGCATGTGCTCAGAGGTACCCCTTAATTGGCGCAGATCTATTTGTGTCGACTCACAACGAAGCCCCGCTGCGTTCAGTGGGGTTTACTCCTAAATGAGCGTAGGGAAACTAGAAGAAAACCCAAGGAGGAAAACCAAATTGGGCTTCACAGTCGAGGAAATGTGTTTGTAGACTTCTGCTGCGTTGCTACCGAATGAAGAACGCGATTGCCTTCGACAGGCATGTCCCTCCACTCCAAAACATCGTGTCCGGGTTTAAACGCCGACATTTATAGCGTATTATAGTATTCATCTTAATCATGGCTGCATCTACACTGTAGAATGAATGCAGTCTGATGTCGCTTTAACTGCCAGGGCTCAATGCTATGGAGTCCTTGGAATCGTGGTCTGGAGAGGTACAAGCACTCTTTGGCAGAGAAACTAAAGATCTGATAAAACTACAATTCCCATGGTTTTATAGCATTGGCCCAAAACTTTTTTTGAGAAACTGCAAGTCGCTTCTGATGTGAGAGAATTGTCCGTCTGCAAGGACGTTCCCCAGGGGACGCCCGGATGTTTGATGTTTTACCATCCTGTGGGAGGCTTCTCTCATGTCCCCGCACGGGAAGCTGGAGCTGACAGAGGGAGCTCATCCGCGCTCTCGCCTAATTCGAACCTCTGACCTGTCGGTCTTCAGTCCTGCCGGCACAAGGGTTTAACCCCCCGGGGGCTCCTGCATCTCCAAAGCTGTTGAAGTGGTGTCAAATTGCATTAATTCTACAGTGCAGATGCACCCTCCGTGGGTCTCTTGGAAGGAGGAAAGGGTGCGAAAGGTGTCCCATTTCCAGATAGAAACTCAGCAGGTATATATTTATCGTATCAGGAGCGAACCAAGGGTACATTTGTATTGTATTCAAAACAAACAACACAACACAACACAACACAACACAACTTGGCAATATATTCAATGTCCTTTGACCAGTAGCTGGCCACTTGGAGTGCTTCTGGTGTCGCTGTGAGAAGGTGGCAGGGCTCAGACTGCATTGCAGTAGGTGGTCTGTGGTTTGCTCTTCTCCACACACGCATCTCGCATCTCGTGTATACTTTGTGGCTCCATTTCTTAAGGCTGGCTCTGCACCTCACAGTCTGTTCAGTGCCTTCCAAGTCGCCCAGTTTTCTGTGTGCCCAGGAGGGAGTTTCTCATTTGGTATCAGCCATGGATTGCGGTTCTGGGTTTTAGCCTGCCACTTTTGGACTCTGGCTTGCTGAGGTGTTCCAGCAAGTGTCTCTGTAGATCTTAGACAACTATTTCTTGATTGAAAACTATTTCTTGATAACTCAACAGATAAAGCTCACGCATCTCCTTCCTTCTGGCCTGCTACAGCTTCTTTACCTGCTTTTAATTCTTCTCAATTGGAAGGAAAAGGTTTAAGCTGCTGAGGGGAAAGGGGAGAGGGCCTGAGGCTGTTAGGAATTGTGGGAGTTGAAGTCCAAAACACCTGGAGGGCCCAAGTTTGCCCAGGCCTGGTGTAGATGCAACCCTAGACGCCCGACTAAACCTCAGGAATGGTGGGGCAAAACCTCTGGCAATCCCAAACACCTCCCTGTTTATTTTAACTGGTTTACGCACTTTATTTGGAAACAGATTGACTAGGAAGGAAGTCGGTCTCCTTGAAAATCCGCCTTTAGAATCAGGAGCCAAGAACAACTCCCCAATCCTAAATGCACAGAGAGATATTTCCGCAGCTGAAAGATCTCGCCCTTTCATTGGACTCAGACAAGATGTCCTCGCCTAAACTCCTCAGTCCTAACTTGGCGGGATCTTTAAAACTACCATCCAACGCTCCTCCAATTCCTAGAAGTCAACCCAAGAAGCGGGATCACTTCAGCATAAATGCAAAGAGAAGACGAGGCTGTTTCAGGAGTTGAAGTCCAAAGCCTGATGTTGGTGCCTTTTAGATGAGGAAAAATGGAAGCATTGACAGCCGCCTTGGGTCAGAATTTGGGGTCAGTTGTCAGAACTTGCTGAACCCCAACCGCATGCTTGAAGGATGTGAGGATGCAGATGGGAAAAAGGCAACAACAACATGTCAGACTTTAGGGAAACAACACCCAAGAGAGAATTCTTGCACTTGGCCATCCTTTCCCAAAGATCTGGTTGTTTTGCGCGATTTACTCCAAAGGAGGTTGTGAAATAAGCTTTTCTTCTTGGTATTCTCGAAAGCTTACAACCTCTGAGGATGCCTGCCATAAATGCAGGTGAAATGTCAGCAGAGAATGCTTCTGGAACATGACCATACAGCCCGGAAAACTCACAACCTTTTTTTTCTTTGGAAAGAGTTGTTGTTCCTGAGCTCCCTGTCGGCCGTCACCCCACCCCCACCCCTTCAAGGTCAATCCAGTCATTTCAAGGATGCCATCCATCCATCCTGCCCTTGGTTAGTCCCTCTTCCTTTTTCCTTCTATTTTCCCCAGCATAATTGTCTTCTCTAAGCTTTCCTATCTTCTCATGATGTGGCCAAAATACTTCATCTTTGC